CAAAAAACATCAAATATATCTGAGACCGAAAAAGAAGAAAAACAAGAGTGAATAAGTTAAAAAGCAGCAAGAAATAATAATAAAAAGTCCAAAAATAAAAGAAAATATTGGCAAGAAAGAACTGATTAACAGAGTAAAGCATCAGCAAAAGAAAAAGAGGAGGAAGGAAACAGAAAGTAGGTTTGAGGATGTTGGATAAAGACAGAATCAATCAGAGAGAAGAATGGATGCGAGAGAGGACGAAGGAGAAGAGCTCATTGGACGAGAGAGAACATGGGAGGAGTAAAGGGAGAAATAAAGGAGAGAGAAGACAAAATGTGTTGAGAATGAAAAGGAACGAGGGAGCGCTGGAGAGAGACGAAGGGTGAGAGTGTGGAGGAAGAACGGTAAAAATAGAACGAGAGGTGAGGAAGAAGAGAGCATGTTGACAGAGGAGGGAAAGCTCTGAGGAAGGCCGAACAAAAACAAAAATAGACGGAGGAGGAAGAGGAGGAGGAAAAAATGACAAAATGAGGAGTGACTGAGACAAACGGGGAAAAAGTAAAGAAATAAAAGAGTTTGAGGGTTTAGAGAGAAAGATGGATGGAAACAAACAGATCCGATTAAACGAGACGATTAGAAAGAACATTCATCTGCTAACGTGCTAACGTAAGCTAATTAACATTTACAGACAAATGAATAACTTTTAAATGAGCTTCAAAGAGTTCAGATATACAGACACCTTAGCCCCAGTGTGTTAGCAGAGATCATAACCTGGGACATTGTAATTCATTCATTTATGTATCATCTTTAAATCCTTAACTGAAGTTCATTTGCTTCCATTTCGATATAACGCAGGTTAATAAAGTGTTAGCTCGTCCTCCGTCTCTACCGTCTCCTCAGGTGTCGTTGACACACGCGTATAATTGGCCGGTAGACGACCCGGCACAGATTCCTCGTTAACGGTGATTATGATAACGGCGTGTTACAGCTCTACCTGTCCTCGCCGCCCCCTCTGACACCGTGGTTTTAACTCTACATAATTATCTTTGTCACTATTTTCCAATGTGTTTCACCAGCGTGTTGTTGATGGTAATTTATTGTTCATGTAATCAAATATTGCCATGCGTTCTGCATTTGCCCGGTGGCACATTTAGTGTTAATTAGGCTGCAGGAGAACAGTGTGGATGCAAGAGAGAGAGAGAGAGAGAGAGAGAGAGGGAGAGAGAGAGGGGGGAGAGAGGGAGAGAGAGGGAGAGACAGAGAGAAATGTGGAAAGTTGTTGACAGCCAATCAACTTCTCACTTTCAGAGAGAGATAGAGAGTGGTGCAAATAGTAGGATGAGAAACACTGGTGGCAAACGGCTGCAGATCTGCAGCCAAGCAGGAACTGTTTGGTATCATTAGCAAGTTTTTTTTTTATTTGGAAGCAGAGATATTAATATGATTTGTCAACTTATGAACATATGAATCAGTGTTTACTAATGCAGCACTGTCTGCAGGGAACGGCTCACAGGACGCTCCATTAGCATTCTGACTACAGGAGGAAGATTATTATCTGACTGCGTCTGTGACGTTACAATATGAATATATATGTTTAGATATCTGACTGTTGAACTGATGCAGAGCTGGTTTTCATTAAAAATGCTGCTAAAGACAAATTCTTGTAATTTAAGGGATTAGTTTGTTATCGAGTGAAGATGTTCAAATGTTTGTTTAATGGCTCAGAAGAAGCTCAGAGAGTGAGTATGACCCCGTTTATGGAACGTTACTTCATCTTCTTGTTCTCTTTACAGCTAATGCTACCTAGCGTTAGTTACAACAAACCTCTCAGAGCCGCTGGTTAAACGCCGTCAATATGAGAGTAAACACAGTGTCTGCTAGCAGCTAACTAGCTAATGCAGCACTCAGGTAACACACAGGTGCAGTGAGGAAGTATTGCAACCTCACTGTGAAGATACTGCGTTAGAAACCTCACTGTGAAGATACTGCGTTAGAAACCTCACAGTGAAGATACGCTTAGAAACCTCACAGTGAAGATACTGCGTTAGAAACCTCACAGTGAAGATACTGCTGTTAGAAACCTCACTGTGAAGATACTGCGTTAGAAACCTCACTGTGAAGATACTGCGTTAGAAACCTCACTGTGAAGATACTGCGTTAGAAACCTCACTGTGAAGATACTGCGTTAGAAACCTCACAGTGAAGATACTGCGTTAGAAACCTCACTGTGAAGATACTGCGTTAGAAACCTCACTGTGAAGATACTGCGTTAGAAACCTCACTGTGAAGATACTGCGTTAGAAACCTCACTGAGGATAAAGTCAGTGTGCAGTCAAATGTTTTAATATCAATGTGTATATGGGTCGTTTTCTATTTATCAAAAAAGTACGTTTACGTTCTCTGACTTCTAATCAATTAAATAATAATGAAATTAAAACATTCAGCAGTTTTCTGGCAGCCGCTGGAACCGACTGAAGGATTTACAAAGTCTCTATTAGTTCCCTTAAAATAACAGATCAACGTTTTACTGTCACACATCCCTTTTGTTGCTCTCTGGCTCATGAGGGTTGTGACACCCCGTCCTGGGAATGACAGCGGTCCCGTACAGTCGGTCTATCGGAGACACCTGGAACCAAAACTCAGAGCTAAAAGAGGCTGAAAGTCTCCGTGAAGCTGCTGCTGATCCTTTAACACGTCTGTAACACAGCTGACCCTGCAGGGAATTCAACCTGCCACTGCTAATGCCTGGCTCCTCTCTCCGGGGACGCTGCCACCTCGACTGCTGACGGCAGTGACACACACACACACACACACACACACACACACACACACACACACACAAACACACACACACTTAATCACAGATGAAATGTGCAAAATCACACACAAACATACATCCTGTAACAAACACTCACACACACTACTAACACCTCCTATACATCCACTTAATGCCAACACACACACACAGACACACACACACACACACACACACACACACACAGACACAGACACACGTACACACACACACACACACACACATACACACACACACACAGACACATTTCACAAATACCGGAAACTTTGCAGCTTCAGGGGAATTTTTTTTTACTCCTTTCATCCAAACAGCAGCCGGAGGAAGCATCAGTCCTCAGATTATTTCCATTACTCAGCATGATTGAAGGCCTTTAATCAACACACACACACACACACACCCACACTGTGTACACACACACACACACACACACACACACACACACACTTTGATTATTTGCTGCGTTAACTTTGCTTTTTATTTGTGACATTAATAAAATAATATGTTTTGATGATTTAAGAAGTTTGTCGGGTTTTGGGAGGTTTTTATGATCTACGTCAGCTACGTGTCCAGTTCAGTTACATTTTATTCAGAGTATAAAGACGTTTTTACAGTTGGAGACTTTAACAATGACTTTACAACAACGAACATTAAAAGGTAAAAAACAGCATTATTATCAGAATCAGAAATACTTTAATAATCCCAGAGGGAAATTATTTTTTGTTACAAAACTCCAGATATACAAACGACATTAAGAACAAAATATAAATATAAATTTGTATATATAACTGTATATATATAAAAGATCAAATGTAGTTTAATAATGTGTAAATAGTGCAGAAGTGGATGTCCGTTGTTTGAGTCAGATTACAGAGGGGGGGTGTCTGATGACCACAGGCAGGAATGATTTCCTGTGGCGCTCTGTGGTGCATCTGGGTGAGAGGAGTCTTCTGCTGAAGGTGCTCCTCTGCTGGGCCAGTGTGTCGTAGAGAGGGTGAGAGACATTGTCCAAGATGGACTGAAGCCTGGACAGCATCCTCCTCTCTGCCACGGTCGTCAGGGTGTCCAGCTCCTCCCCTACGACATCACCGGCCCTCCTGATCAGTTTGTTTAGTCTGTTGTTGTCAGCGACCCTCAGCCCACTGCCCCAGCATGGGACAGCGAAGAAGATCGTACTGACCACAACAGACTCATAGAACATCCTCAGCATCCTCAGTGTAAGTTTATTATTATGATTATGTAGTTTTAGAGTACAGCGATGAGTTCAGGGAACAATGTGTGTGGATTATTACATCATAGTTAAACTGATCAATCATCAGTCAGATATTATCTTATCAATAATATCTGATCAATAATCAGTCAGATTATCGAGTCGGTGCTGCAAGAAATAACGTGTTCAGTTCCCATGGCGATATAACGCTAACAGGCTGATGCTAATGCTAACAGGTCATATTGTGGTTTTAGCTAGCTAACGTTAGCTTGCTAGCTAACACAGACAGAATGTAGCATAAAATGTTTAGTGCAGTGTGTGTGTGTGTGTGTGTGTGTGTGTGTGTGTGTGTGTGTGTGTGTGTGTGTGTGTGTGTTACTGTGTGTGTGTGTGTGTGTGTGTGTGTGTGTTACTGTGTGTGTGTGTGTGTTACTGTGTGTGTGTGTGTGTGTGTGTTACTGTGTGTGTGTGTGTGTGTGTGTGTTTGGTTGGGGGGTAAATGTAGTCCATGTTGGGGGGTGATGGGGGGTGTGGGGTGGGGGGAGGTGTTCACTCACACACTCAGTGCAGAAAGCCCTGAGCAACAATCTGTGGTGACAACAACACACTACCTTCATTATCAACTCCCCCCCCTCTCTCCCCCTCCCCCCCCCTCTCTCTCTCTCTCTCTCCCTCCTCTCTCTCTCTCTCGCCCCACACCTTCCTCTCAGCAGCCTGCTGAACAGCTGAGGTGTCAAAGCTAAACAAGGTGAGGATGAGGAGGATGATGGTGGTGATAGAGCTGGGGGGGGGGGGTTGTGGGTAACTGGGCAGGGTTCAGTTCCCACACACACACACACACACACACACACACACACACACACACACACACACACACACACACAGAGGCTGCATTATCAATCTATTAATGATCAATTTCAGTCCAATTTATAGTTTTAAATCATTAATTCCAGTTAATTATTATTTTTCCTGTTTATTGTTAATAGAAACTCTTTATTTATGAAAATCTATCAATAAAACATTATTGATTCATTCATTAATACACAATGGTACAGTCCGTCAGGTGGTTCGCTCCATTGACAGTCAGTGAGTGTGTCTGTGTCCAACTCTTCCTCACAGGTTAGTTAATGACAGACAGTCAGTGAGTGTGTCTGTGTCCAACTCTTCCTCACAGGTTAGTTAATGACAGACAGTCAGTGAGTGTGTCTGTGTCCAACTCTTCCTCACAGGTTAGTTAATGACAGACAGTCAGTGAGTGTGCCTGTGTCCAACTCTTCCTCACAGGTTAGTTAATGACAGACAGTCAGTGAGTGTGTCTGTGTCCAACTCTTCCTCACAGGTTAGTTAATGACAGACAGTCAGTGAGTGTGTGTGTGTCCAACTTCTTCCTCACAGGTTAGTTAATGACAGACAGTCAGTGAGTGTGTCTGTGTCCAACTCTTCCTCACAGGTTAGTTAATGACAGACAGTCAGTGAGTGTGTCTGTGTCCAACTCTTCCTCACAGGTTAGTTAATGATGTTACTGAGTCAATGTGAGCAGATTGTGTCTGTAGACTGAAGAGAATCAGAGTCTCACTGATGGTGGAAATAAAGGTTTTACTTCCTTAAAACAGCCGTTTTTTGAATGGAGTTTGGTGTGACAGTGTGGAGCAGAGGGGATTTGAACCTTAATAATTCCCATAAACTGAGCTGACCTACCTTCTAATAATGAACCTTGGGAACAGCAGAAAGTAACAGGAAGTGGAGATAAACCCTCCTGTTTTCTTCTTCTGTGGTCTCGTAGTAAAATGTTGATTAATAAACAAACCAGTCAGTTTACAGAAACATCGGACAGAGACAGTAAATAAAGAGAACGCCCATCGACAGTGAGTGACAGCTGTAATAATATTTATTAAGAAGTTCTGTCTTTTGTGTCTCATTAAATCAGTCGGACACACGGTTCTGTCCAAGTCAGTCCCAAAACACAACAACAACAACAACAACAACAACAAACAAAACTCAACAACAAACAACAACAACAAACAAAACTCAACAACAAACAAAACTCAACAACAACAAACTACAACAACAAACAAAACTCAACAATAAATCAGTTTTCCTCCAGTAAGGTGATGCAGTATCGTAAACGTGCCTGAATGTGTAATATTATATCAGAGCAGCTTGAAGGGGACGAAGGAGGGGCTGATGGGTAAACCCGGGGCTGATGGGTAAACTCTACCTGTCGATTTCTGGAGGGACGGAGAAAAGTCTTTTGAAATGTTTTGACCTTTGGAAAAACACTTGAGGTATCATCACACACACTTCCTCCTGCTGAGTGTGTGTGTGTGTGACTCTGTGTGTGTGTGTGACTCTGTGTGTGTGTGTGTGTGTGTGTGTGTGTGACAGGCCGCTGTGTTTGGAGTTAGCGGTGGACGACAGATCGGCCCTGAGGCGCTGCAGGTGTTTGAGGTGGGAAAGAGAAGGAGGGAGTTAAAGGAAGGAGACACAGGAAGAGAGAAAGAAAAACAGAAGAGTTAAAGAAAGTTTATTTACAGAAACAATAAAAACATCAACAACTGCTGATCCACTGAAGTATTAAACTCATTTATTAATGAGTAATAGAACTCATCAATAACCAGAAGCTGTCATACAGAAACTTTATCCTCATAAAACCTGCGACCTTCCAGTTACAGGACGCTGTGTCTCGTGACACGCCGCCGTCGCCTCGTGCTAATTACCGCTGTAACAGACGGCGGGCTCTCCCACACCTCAGACACACCTCAGACACACCTCAGACACAACATGTAACTCAGACAGATAGTTCTGGAAAGATTTCACAGTTTGTCTGCGAATGTTCAGATTCTGAGTTGAAACAGTTTCACTGTCGGACCTGCAGGAAGTTTCACTCGCTGTGCTCGTTCCTGTGTTAACGTTCAGTCTATAAACTGTGTGACTAAAGATCCAAACAGTGGCTGTATGACACTAACACATCCTCATTGGACGGATTTAGTGCTCGCAGTTAGATCCTCTCAGTCCTCCTCAACCTCTGCTGCCTCCGTATGATCTAAACAAACACACAGATCAGGGTGGGCAGACCTTTGGGGATCAGGACCGGCCACCCCGCTCCGCGTCCCTCTTCCTCTCCATTAAACACGGGATCATTTGAGAGAAAAGCATATGTACGTGCATCTGCTTCCTGTGACTCCGGCAGGACCGCGGCCGCTCCACGACGGCGTCCCGAGCCGCCGAGGACTGACTTTAAAGCGAGCGGCCATCTGTCTTTCTCGTCTCTGAGCTTTTCTTGGCACCCGAGGGTGCAGCCTGGGCGGGCGGGGGGAGGCAGAGGAGTCGCCCTCTCCTCGACACGCAGAGACAAAAGAGTCTCTGAAGAGAAGAAAAAGACAAACTGCTCATCCAACCGAAGCCCGCGGAGACCGGAGAGATCACATGGTCACAGTTCAGCTCTCACCACGAAACCAGGAAATATTCTCTGATCCAGTTTCACCCACTGAGTGTGTGTGTGTACAGTAATCAGTGAGCTACGCTATTCGCTAGCCGTGCTAGTCACTAGCGAGCGAGTTTGTGTGAGTATTTTGTCATAAATTGTTAAATAGGGAACAATATCACTGAGGATGAGATCTTAAAGGTTAAAAAGACATTTTTCATTTCACCTGGACTTTAAAGTTCTGTTAAATGTTCTGTTAAGAGAAAAATAGGAGATGTAATTTTTTATATTTTATGTTCGTGCCTCCGCAGCGTTCAGCCCTTCAGGCTCAGTAACAGCTGGAGGATCCAGTGGAAACAACACAGAACGCAAAGTGGATCATTCAGACTGAAGAGGGATCAGTTATATACATGGTCTGATGTGTTTTATGTATTTCAAAGGCCTGTATATTAGCTTACAGGCTATCAATGGTTATAATATAGAAACAAACAGTGAATGGAGACACAATGCTCGGCTCTGTCCCAGCTGAGAGACGGATCCCTCTGGAGGCTGATTGGTGCTTATTAGCATAAATAACGACCCCTAAACACCTTAGAAGGGCAGGTGGAGTGTAAACATTGGCACAGGGTCACAAAAGGCTGTAAGGATAGACAGACAGACAGACAGACAGACAGACAGATAGACAGATAGATAGATAGATAGATAGATAGATAGATAGACATTTTCTCATTGAAACAAACTGAACTTAACTCTAAGACGATGAGTTCGAGCTGAAGAGGAATCCAAAGACGTTCTTCTTAGAAACTTTACAACAACACTAAAACCAGATTTATCCTTCGCTGTCACATCGACGGCCCCGTCTCCGTCTCCGGCTCTGAGATCATATGTGAGTTCCAGCTGTGAGTTTTTCTCGTCCACTTTGTTGTTTCTGATCTCAGCTCTCACCTTTCCCGCCCTCCTCCTCCTCACCCATCATCCTCTGCTCTCTGACAGCACAGAGGGGGAGGGAGGGGGAGGGTTCCTGGATTGAAGGATTTGGCAGAGTTTAGTCTCTGAGAGTCCAGCGGAAATGGGAGGACAGGTTCATCAAAGCCTCCCTCCCTCCCTTCCTCCCTCCTCGAACAGGAGCCGCCATAATGAGGCTGAAAGAAGGGGGAGGAGCTCTGGAGGGCCACCGCCAAACAGACGTGACATGAAACTCTGATCGGGGCTTTCTGTGCGGGTTCGGGTGAATCCACGCCATCTGATTCCCACCTCGTGTTGAAGCCGCCGCCACCGCCGCCGATAACCTCCCTGATGACCCGCGTGAACGCAGCCTGGAGGAATGTTCGCTCACCTCCGCAGAGGAAGTGATCAACACAAGCCCTTTCTGCTAATTGAGGGGGAGATAAAGCGGTGCGCGCCCCCCGGCCGCGGCCCGACAAATGAGAGAGGCGTTTAGAGAATAAGAGGTGGACGAGGCCCGACAGCGGGGGCCCCTTTGTGTCGGTGCAACACGAAAGGGGATCAGCAACCGGGAGGGGGGAGGAGGTTTTTTAGAGTAAATCCAAAAGGAACAAAGTGGGATTATCAGGTTCCCAGCGGCATGGGGCTATTCCTCCCATAACGTCATTAGACGGCATTAAAGCGCTCTGCTTTTCTCTCCCTCGTACCCCGAGCTGTCCCGCAGGAGATTAGCCGACTACAAGGTCTAATTGACAAAACCCGGGATTGTCAATGAAGTGATGTTATCCCCTCTGTCGCTTTGAGCGGCAGAACAAGAGAGGCACAAAAAGGATTAGTAACGCTGATAGCTGCGAGCAGAAAGACGGAGAGTTTAACTTCCTCCTCCCAGCTTTCCTCTAGTTTACAGGAAGATATTTCAGGAACGCAGTCGGATCCTGACGACTCGTCCACTCATATTTTACTTTAGTTCAACTTCGTCATGTCGCTAACAGCACGATATTCAACAGATCCGATGCGATAGACTTTATTGATCCCACATTGGGGAGATTCACCTGTTACAGCGACACAAAAGATAATAAAATACACATAAAATTAAAATAAAGTAGAAAAGTACAAGATGGAGACTGCTGTCAGTAATCAGTGATCAATACTCCCATTATTAAAGCATTAATCAAACTAATACCGTCAGACAACCTGATCAGCCTTCAGCAGTTAGCTAGTGTTTCTGTAGTGGAGACAAACGTTAACAATGATCCATATCAGCAGTTTGAATCCAACTAAAAGCTCCCTGCACCAAACTCCCTTTAAGAAATATCACATTTTAACAATTCCTAACGTGTTCGTAACAACACGTAACTCTAGAAACACGAGCTAAAGGCTTTTCAGTCACTGCTAAGCTGCTGTCAATGGAACTTCCTGTAATTATTTCACATTAAAAGCCTGCGAGGAAAGCAAGAAATTGAGCTCTTTTGAGCCACTGAATGACTTTTAATTAAATGTAATGAATTAATTTTAATAACAGCTGCGCAGGAAAAGTTCCTGTGTGAAGATCTTAGAGGTTATTCAGGGTTCCTGCTCGTCTTAAGCAACCATTGTCCAGGATTTGATGCCTAAGGTTTCCTTTAAGTGTTGTGAACAGCTCTGGACTGACCTGGGAGCAGAAACTTAAACAGAAAACAGGACATTTTTTAGTTTTCTTGTTTTTTGTTTTCTCATTTTTATTTTCAAATAATGGAAAACGTGTAATTTTTTCCTTTTTTCAGGTCATTTTTTTCAGCTTGTTTCCTGATTTTTGAAAGTACTCTGACCATCGTACCGACAGTTTCAAACTTAATACGCAGCGCTACCACAGTTTAACGTAATCTGAGATTATTTCCAGGATATTCTGTCATTTTAATAAATCTCCAGGTGTTTCCAACGTCTGCACAACTTTCTATGGACACGTGTGATCTTGTTATTTGTGCTCTGATTGAATTTTCCACCATATTGTATATGAGCAGACGTAAACGTTGCGTTTACAGTTCAGCAATTACAGTAATTGCGCCCTGCGTCCTGCTGGCGCGTCCTTTATGTCACACGGTGAGATTTTTGTGTGCAATCCGCCGACAGGATGCCGCAGAGGCCTGATTCGTTCCCGCGTCCACTCCAGAGGGAAAGCAGCCTAATGCCTAATGTCCCTCTTGAGCTCCCAGAGTCGTAGTCTGTAATTAAAGGGTGATTAAGAGGCTGGAGCTTGATGAATGGGAGCCTAAATAGTCTAAATACCCCATGCTGCTCTGCTGTTGGACTCAGCGTGGAGGACTTAATTGATTCGGGCTAATCAGCGGTCAGAATTAAAACAGTCACAGTTGTCTGGGAGAGACGAGAGAGGGAGAAAAAGTGAGAGGAAATGAGGGAGGAGGAGGAGAACAGAAGGCTGAGGAAGGAGGAGGAGGAGATGTGTGTTATTGTGGAGGGAAGAAGCAGCTCAGCAGAAGGCGTCCTGTGTTACCCTGCATAAATTAAGCGCTCACACACTTTACAAACACACTGGCGGATATTAAAGGAACAGTTTGTCGGACAATTAGGTGATATGGAGACTCATTAGCGTGGAACGTGACGGCCAACTACACGTCCGACTCTGGCATCCTCAGAGTGACAGTTATATCAGATATCAGGTTTTATTCAGTGGATAAACTGCAGAGCAAAGAGAGTCCAACGAGGTGGATCCAACGTTGGGTTTCAGAGTGGTAATAATATCAGTTCATGGCTAAGAATTTACTGTAAACTGCCTTTTTCTGTCTATTTAGCAAATTATTTCCTGCAAGATTTCAGATTGTTGCAGAGAAAATTTCTGATTTCACATCA